CTTGCATTTTTCCAAATGAGATTATACTGAGGGAAGCCATAGACCTGCTGTATCTGCTTGGTTTTAATCCAGATTTTTTGGATGAGTGTAAAAGTAGGTAAAAGGCTATTAGACTTGGAAAAGGCTCCAGCCTCCAAACCCATTGGTATATCCAGTACCTCAACAGTGAAGGTTAATATGCTAGTAGAGGAGTCGGGGAGCTATTGATGCTGATCTGAATAAGGAGCCAAGCTCCTGATAAGATGTTGCAGTTGTGCTGCCAAGTAGTAGAGCCAGGGATTTGGCATCACCAAGCCCCCAGCATCTTTAGGTCTCTGTAGATGTTCCAACCTAATTTTAGGAACTTTATTGTGCAATAACAGCTGTCTAAAGATGTAATTAACTAGCTGGAAGATGCTTAAGGTAATGACTATAGGGGCATTATGCAGAAGGTATTACAGTTGGGTCATTAATAAAATTTTGACTAAATTCACCTTACCCGCCAGAGACAGCCACAGTCTATTCCAAATCTTAATTTTGTCTCTAAAGTGGTTTAATAGGTGGTTTATATTTAAACGACAGAAATCTAGCAGTTGAGGGGTAACCTGCACACCTAAGTATTTGAAGGAGGAGGTAACGGGAACAGGAAAGGAAGGGGCAATAACCTGCATGGGGCAAAAGTCCAAAAGCATTAAAGGTTACTTGTCTCAGTTAATAAGGAGTCCTGAGTATTCCCCAAATTTTACTACAATATTCATAGCTGCCTCTAGAGACCCAGAGGTGTCCCCTAGTAACAGCATGGTGTCGTCTGCATAAAGCATGACTTTCTCATGTAGCGTACCATACTTAAAGCCAATGATCTCAGGATTTTGTCTAAATGAGGCCACCAGAGGCTCAAGGGCTAAAGCAAATAATAGCATAGACAGGAGACATCCCAGACAGATGCCTCTGCCCAGTGGAAATGTGGGAGACAGTCGCCCGGTCTCTCTGACGGACATTACAGGGTGATCATTTAGCAGTTTAACCCAGGATATAAAGCTGGGGTCAAACCCAAATTTAGAGAGGACAGCCCAAAGGTGTGGCTATTATACACTGCCGAAGGCCTTGGCAGCATCCAGCGACAGCAGTGCCCTCTCACCAATGTTGTCTACCCTAGCTTGGATGTTAAACATGGAAACAGCCTACAGAAGTTGCCAGCTGTTGACTTCTGGGGCTGTTTCCATAAACTGGGACTGATCAGGGTGTATGATTGTAGAGATGGCCTTATTAAGATAGAGAGCCAGTACCTTCACCAAAATCTAAATATCGCTTCGTAAAAGAGAGATTGGTAACTTACTTTCCTTTTTTCATTTTGGATAGAGTAAGGTAGGGTTATAACCTGTTGGGTGACTATTTGCCATTTGTGTCCAATAGGGGAGATCTCCCTTCATGACCGGTCTCATAGCCAAAAAGTGAGCAGAAATCCCCTCCTAAAAGTAAAGGAATCCCTGAGTGGCACCAGGGTCAGCAGAACTAGTGTCTCCACTGGAAGATTTCCCCTGTATTACTTTTCTGATGTCAAAATTTTGGAATTTCTTTTAATTTCACATTCAATAATAATGGTAAACATGACATGAAATAGTGAAGGTAAATTTCCCTAATGGGGGCACAGACAGCAATAAAAACTGACAGGTGTTCTAATCCCTCTCCATTCCATCCAAAATGAACAAAAAAATTGTCTTTAGTTACGCTTTAAATGACCTCTAGCAGTCTTCTAGTTATTTTATGTGTGTGTGTGTGTTGTATATATAGTAATTAGCAGGGGTTCCCTTGTGCCGGAAAGTTATTCCAAGAGTTCTTCTGTGTTTAAAAGGTTGGGAAAGGCTACTCTAGTCTATACAGTAGAAATCTCCATTAATTTCCATAGTCATGCAGTAGTGTGTAGCAGGAGCACAAAGGTTAAGATCAATTCTTGCTTTATGGTATGGAGCCGTTTCTGTAGTATGGTTTCATATTCTTTATCTGCTACAAAACAACACAGAGCAATTATCAGAGCTAATGACTCACCCCTGGAGGCTATCCACCCAACTTTGGATCCACAAGAGCTGGACCCACACATTGTTGAATGAAGGTGTACTCTGTAAATGCATCAGGAAAGGTAACAATATACCAACAGACTACATTATTTTTATAGCAGGGTGTACACACTGAGGTTTTTTTTTCCATTCAACCAATGAGTTGAACAAAAAAGGTTCACAGATCCCTGCATCCACATAAGCGATATTGATACTGTTCCTTTATATTCTGACAGCAGGGACTTTCTATCCCCTCCCATCAGAATACACAGATCAGCGTTGCAGCTGTTGGCTGCAAACACTGATAGAATGCTGGTTTCCCAGCATGACCATTTGACAGGAGCTGGTTGTGGAAGAACCAGATGATTTTCACAGTCCTATGCTCATGGTGTACTTCATTTTGTATACAACATTTCTAGTTTTCATGCAAGACTGGCTACATGGCATTTGCTATCAAGTATGTAAGTATATCTACATATATATACTGTACATGTATGTATATTTTTTGTGATTGACGAGTATTGAGGCCTTGCAGTTCTGGGGTTCTAGGACCAGATGCTCCCAAGATACTATCTTCATACATTTTGTATGAGTTTCTCCATAGTGCTCCAGTCTGCTCACCTAGTCTAAAAACATACACGTAGGATAATTGCCTATGTGACTAGTAAAGACAACATATTAAAAGCTTCCCAAGCATCAGCTGAGATGTGCTTTTGTGTACTCTATAACACAAGGAATTTGCTAGCACTATATAAATGAAAAATACATTTGCCATTCATATATGTCATTTATTGTGATAAATGACCTCCTTCAGTACCTGGCATTATTTACTGATACATTGCATCTCTATACTATATGATATGGCCTGAGATATGCCTATTTTTAGGGACAATCACATTTGTTGGAAAGTGACAACAATGATTCCCTGAAATATGACTTTTCTAAACAAATGCCTCCCCACAACACATGACGTATTCTGTGATATATAGAACATTCAACCCATAGCATTTTCAGGGTATGTACTATTACCATTAACATACAGTATAATACAGAACATCCCAATTACATCTACCACCCTGATATTAGAGGGCATTTTCCATAATATACAGGATATTGCCTTGTAGCGGTGATTATTGGTTTCGCCGTACCATTTTAGGGTTTCACTATGACACATTGGGGTTGATTTAGTATGGGTAAAAAACAGACATTTTTTTTTATTTTGCAAGGAAATGTTCCCTTAGCTTAGTGTAAGAGGTAAAGCTTTGCTGGCTTACATCATTCAATCACAGGCTAGCAAAAATATTGTTTTTAGTATTTTCCTTTGACATGATTGGGAATTCTTTGCAAAGGGGATTGTCACCACATTCACTACGCTAAGGGAAAATTCCCTTGCAAAGTGAACAGCCTATTTGCCTTCAACCCCAGTAATACAATCCTCTCTTGTAATTTCATGTCTTGCAATATATGGGATTCACCATGTGAAGCTTAGGGGAAAAATTAGTAAACTGAACCGGATGCATTGAAAGCATTATTATAAGTGCCTGCAGTCGATTTTAAATGGCAGCCATAGAAATAATTCTGCCACTGTGATAGTTCAAGTGCAACTTCACTTTCAGAATGAAATTGGACACACGCACACACAGCATGTAGTTAGTAAATATGGATACAGACCTCAGGCGCACACTCTCCCTGCTTGTCATTACCCCAGCCTGCCCAGATATAGAAGATGTTTACATCCTGCTGGTGTCCTCTGCAGTAATGCGCATGCATTGGTCTTGCTCTTAAAGAGTAATGGGCATGCCATATCCATGTGCTGAGACAGGCATGGCCATCTATTTCACAGGCAATTCTCCCAAGGTGGCTATTACCATTAAATATAGGTTAGATGTGCAGATACAATTCAGCTGGCATGGAAACATCTTTCTTTCATGTAACTTGGAAAAGTAAAAGGAATTTGTGGTGATTTTGTATTTTTTCTTCCTATTCTTCTTTCTTGCATCACACTAGACTAGGGGTCCCGCAGGCACAAACCGTACCAGTAAGGTACGTTGGTGGGGGGGGACTCAGGAGAGTGAAATTGACTTCATGCAGTAAGGATATCGAAATGCCTGGCTGGATGGGTTCAAGTAGGGTGGAAGGGAGGGAAGGATGATAGGAAGGAAGTTTTGCCCAGAATTGAGCTTTTAGATAATCATTTTTATTCATATTAAAGTGGTTGTAAACCTCAGGCATAAACTATGAACTTAGCATATCCCTCTAAAGTGTGCACTTCTCTCAATAAGTATCATTTCTGTATGCTTCTTCATCCTCTGCTATCAGCATGAGTCACTTCTGACAAGTTTTCCTGACACCAAGAGAAAAATAGTGACAGGGGAGGGACCCCCAGCAGATTGACAGACTCAGCTCTTTTCCTGTGAGCTGTGTGGAGGGGGGTCCCTTACCTTCCCTCCAATCAGCTCTCAGAACTCTCCCCACTTAGCTCTGCAGAGTGTAATTTCAGCTCCCCACCCCCCTTTTTCTGAACTCTTCAACAAGCTGTATAAATTCAGCACTTTGAACAGCTGTAGAGAAGAGAAGACTGCAGATATCCAGGTATAACATATGTAGGAGGATTTTTTTCATCACTGTGTATCACCTGAGGCCAGTCACTTCACTGGGTATATGCAAGGTTTTACAACCAATGTGGTGTGCTATCTTCTCATAAATAAAACCATACATTTTGAGACCATAAAGCAGGGGTGTCCAAACTTTTTTCAAAGAGGGCCAGATTGGATGAAGTGAACATGGTGGAGGGCCGAACATTTTTCCAAACATTCTTTGAACCATTACAATTAAATGCAAATAAATTATTTTATGCCAAGTTACCGTATTTTTCGCCGTATAAGACGCACCTGACCATAAGACGCACCTAGGTTTTAGAGGCAGAAAACAGGAAAAAAAAATTCTGAACTAATGGACTGCAGACACAGTACAGGAGATGAACAGAGACTGCGGACAGTACAGGAGATGACCAGAGACTGCGGACAGTACAGGAGATGACCAGAGACTGCGGACAGCACAGGGATGACCAGAGACTGCGGACAGCACAGGGATGACCAGAGACTGCGGACAGCACAGGGATGACCAGAGACTGCGGACAGCACAGGGATGACCAGAGACTGCGGACAGTACAGATGACTGCTGACCTTTGGGGAGGTGGGGAGCGGGTACCTGAATTTGACAGGTACCCGCTCTTACTTCCGCAGTTGTTCTTTGATCTTACCTGTTCCTCGATCCAGCCGCGCGCTGTCTTCCCGGCTTCTGTAATGGCGCTCGGCATGACAGCCGGATGCCCAGTGCGCATGAGCGAGAAGCACTTGCGCTTTGTGATTGGTCCAGCGGCTTCTGGGATCTGTCATGTGTCCCAGGTACCGCCTTACCATTCACAAAAAGCACCGCTTCTTGCGCATGCGCACTTGGCACCCGGCTGTCATGCCCAGCGCCCACACTACAGAAGCCGGGAAGACAGCGCGCCGCTGGATAGAGGAACAGGTAAGGTCCCGCTGCAGAGCTGAGCGGCCGGCCCGGTATTCTGACACGGCCGCGGTGGAAATACCGGACCGGCCGCTCCATATTCGCTCCATAAGACACACTGACACACTGACATGGAGGGCCGTATTAAACCGACCCTCGGGCCGGACTTTGGACATGCCTGCCATAAAGTGACAGTCCAAAGAAATGTGTAACAGAATTATAATGAACGTCCAGTCCAGTATAGATTGTGTTAACATCCAGCAGTAATCAACACCCGTGCTTGAATTGTGGTCCCACTCCCTGTTCACCATGACCATTGACATATAAATTATAATAGGCCAAACACCCGTTATAGGAAAATGTGTCTCCAGATTTCTGATCCGTGACATGTTCCGTCCACGTATTGTGCCTCTGTAGACTAACGCAGCACTGTAACACAAAAAATGGCCTGGTCAGGAAGGGGAGTAAATCCTCAAGAGGGCAAGTGGTTAAAGTTAAAGTAGATGAAAACCGTAATTCTTGAGTATTTAGTTTGCCGAAGAATTGTGTATCATAAACAATGATGCATTTTGTATAATACTATATAATACTTCTTTTCTCTTGACAGGGTGGGATTCCTGATGATGACAACAGTAAACCATGTTTATTCAACTACTACTTGCAGTCTCCATTGGATGTCTGTGTGACAGGGTGACAACACATAAGCAAGATTAGGAAACAGGACAGAGTATTGTCATCCTATAGCAGAAAATGCCTGAACAAGGCTCTTCATGGCAAGATCACCAGCTGTTATTTTATTGAAAGCTGCAGATTCGGGGCAATTCACAGCAGTGTTTTGATCTGCAATTTAGTGCAGCTGTAAAATGCAGATCAACAGAAGGACATCTGTAAAACAATAATTTCCAGTGTGTCCTGTTCACACCATAATGAAGTGCATGCATGTCAACAGACATCAAAATGTATGTCAACGGATGTCAGCGCACGTTAAAACGCAACTAAAATGAATGGAAATGTACGTGACTTTTCTATATAGGTTAGCGCAAGTCATTGAGTGTGAATTGAGCTTGTCTGAATCTGGAAGCAACTTTAACAAGGGGGCCCCCAGATCCTGGCCCCCTCATGTGAATAAGTATGAAGCAACTGAACTCGCAGGGTGCAACTGCACTTGCAATGTTTACAGTCTATTTGCCTTTCATAAATCAACCCCAGTGTGAACGAGTCCTAAAGGGAAAATGGTGCAAACAGCATTCCGCTTTATTGGCCCAGTGGAGGTGAAATATTGGAGATATGTTGTTCTTGTAACACTGTGCATAAGCTCTAACTAAAGTTAATTAGACACTGAGAAATATTAAAATGACAATTAAAAAAAACTTTGAAAACAATCTCAACAAAACAATTAAATCTCAATGGGGAAAAATATCATGCTGGATATCTATACTGATATGGACTGGGTAATATGTTAGGAACGTAAGGATGCCCCATCATTTGATGGAAATGAAAATTATCAACCTACAGAGGACTGAAATCAAAGAGAAACGCGAAAATCAAAGTGAAAAAATGATTCAGCAGGCTAGTCCATTTTGCTGAAATTTCATTGCAGCAACTCAAAATGGTCCTCAGTAGTTTGTATGGCCCCCACATGCTTGTATGCATGCCTGATAATGTATGTCCTGGGGTATTTCCTTCCAGATCTGGACCAGGGCATCACTGAGCTCCTGGACAGTTTGAGGTGCAACCTGGCGGCGTCAGACGGACCAAAACATGATATCCCAGAAGTGTTCTATTGGATTTAGGTCAGGCGAGAATGGTGGCCATTCAATGGTATCAATTCCTTCATCCTCCAGGAACTACCTGCATACTCTCGCCATATAAGGCTGGGCATTGTCGTGCACCAGGAGGAACCCAGGACCAACTGCACCAGCGTAGGATCAGACAACAGGTCCAAGGATTTTATCCCGATACCTAATGGCAGTCAGGGTGCCATTTTCTAGCCTGTAGAGGTCTGTGCGTCCCTCCATGGATATGCCTTCCCAGACCATCACTGACCCACCACCAAAACGGTCATGGTGAACGATGTTACAAGCAGCAGAACGTTCTCCACGGCTTCTCCAGACCCTTTTTTACATCTGTCACATGTGCTCAGGGTGAAACTGCTCTCATCTGTGAAAAGCACAGGGCGCCAGTGGTGGACCTGTCAATTCTGGGGTTGAATGGCAAATGCCAATCGAGCTCTATAGTGCCGGTACGGAGCACAGAGCCCACTTGAGGACATCGGGCCCTCAGAGCACCCTCATGAAGTCTGTTTCTGATTGTTTGGTCAGAGACATTCACACCAGTGACCTGCTGGAGGTCATTTTGTAGTCAGTGCTCATCCTGTTCCTCCTTGCACAAAAGAGCAGATATCGGTCCTGCTGATGGGTTAAGGACCTTCTACGGCCATGTCCAGCTCTCCTAGAGTAACTGCCTGTTTCCTGGAATCTCATCCATGCTCTTCAGATTGTGCTGGGAAACACAGCAAACCTTCTGTCAATGGCACGTATTGATGTGCCATCCTGGAGGAGTCAGACTGCCTTTGCAACCTCTGTAGAGTCCAGGTATTGCCTCATGCTACCAGTAGTGACACTGACCCTGCCAAGCCAAATGCAAAACTAGTGAAAAAACAGTCAGAAAAGATGAGTAGGGAAAAAAATGTCAGTGGCCTCTACCTGTAAAATCATTCCTGTTTTGGGGGTCTTTTCATTGTTGCCCATCTAGCGCACAAGTTGTTAATTTTATTAACACCAAAGCTGCTGAAACTGATTAACAACCCCCTCTGCTACTTACCTGACCAGATCAATATTCCAGGAGTTTAACTGACCTGATGCTATACTCCTGATTAAAATGTCTTCCTTTAATTTTTTTTCAGCAGTATATATATATACAGTGGGGATCGAAAGTTTGGGCACCCAGCTAAAAATTTGTATTAATGTGCATAAAGAAGCCAAGGAAAGATGGAAAAAATCTCCAAAAGGCATCAAATTACAGATTAGACATTCTTATAATATGTCAACAAAAGTTAGATTTTATTTACATCATTTACACTTTCAAAATAACAGAAAACAAAAAAAAATGGAGTCTGCAAAAGTTTGGGCACCCTGCAGAATTTATAGCATGCACTGCCCCCTTTGGCAAGTATCACAACTTGTAAACGCTTTTTGTAGCCAGCCAAGAGTCTTTCAATTCTTGTTTGAGGTATCTTTGCCCATTCTTCCTTACAAAAGTCTTCCAGTTCTTTGAGATTTCTGGGCTGTCTGTCACGCACTGCTCTTTTAAGGTCTATCCATAGATTTTCAATTATGTTGAGGTCAGGAGATTGTGAAGGCCATGGCAAAACCTTCAGTTTACGCCTCTTGATGTAATCCCCTGTGGATTTCGAGGTGTGTTTAGGATCATTATCCATTTGTAGAAGCCATCCTCTCTTTAACTTCAGCTTTTCACAGATGGCATCAAGTTACCATCCAAAATTTGCTGAAATTTTATTGAATCCATTTTTCCTTCTACTCGTGAGATGTTCCCTGTGCCACTGGCTGCAACACAACCCCAAAGCATGATTGATCCAACCCCATGCTTAACAGTTGGACAGAGGTTCTTTTCATTAAATTCTGTGCCCCTTCTTCTCCAAACGTACCTTTGCTCATTCCGGCCAAAAAGTTCAATTTTAACCTCATCGGTCCACAGAACTTGTTTCCAAAATGCATTAGGCTTGTCTATATGTTCATTTGCAAAGTTCAAACGATGATTTTTGTGGTGAGGACGTAGAAGAGGTTTTCTTCTGATGACTCTTCCATGAAGACCATATTTGTACAAGTATCTCTTTATAGTGGAATAGTGTACCACAACTCTAGTGTCTGCCAGATCTTTCTGGAGGGATCGTGCAGTCAAACGTGGGTTTTGAATTGTTTTTCTCACAATCCTGCGAGCTGTTCTGTCTGATATTTTTCTTGGTCTTCCAGATCTTGCTTTAACTTCCACTGTTCCTGATGACTGCCATTTCTTAATTACATTCCGAACAGAGGATATTGACATCTGAAAATGCTTTGCTATCTTCTTATAGCCTTCTCCAGCTTTGTGAGCGTCAACTATTTTCAGTTTCAGTTTTCTAGACAACTGCTTAGAAGAACCCATGGTGCTGATTGTTGGGGCAAGGTCAGATGAGTCTGGGCATTTAAAACATTTGAGATTGACATCACCTGATCTTCCCAGACGATGATTGAGAACAATCCATGACACTGGCAGGTCTCAAGCTTTGCAAAGGGGGCAGTGCATGCTATAAATTCTGCAGGGTGCCCAAACTTTTGCAGATGCCATTTTTTTGTTTTCTGTTATTTTGAAAGTGTAAATGATGGAAATAAAATCTAACTTTTGTTGACATATTATAAGAAAGTCTAATCTGTAATTTGATGCCTTTTGGAGATTTTTCCATCTTTCCTTGGCTTCTTTATGCACATTAATACAAATTTTTAGCTGGGGTGCCCAAACTTTCGATCCCCACTGTGTATGTGTATATATATATATATATATATATATATCACATAGGACTGGATAAACAATGAGCCTGCACATCCATAGGTATGCTGGGGATGTCTTCTTCGATGTAAGACTTGCGTTTAGAGTCACTAGTTTGCAGCTGGCTATGGGAAAT